TGCAAGGCAATTGCTAAAAAGGAGATTCAAGGGAATGCAGAGCAGCAATATAAGGACATATGGAGATATTGTGCAGAAATTAAGAGGACACACCCAAATACCACAATGGAAGTTATGTTTACTCCCTTCAGACAACCTGGATGCAACCCAAAATTCATGAGACTTTATTGCTGTTTGGGACCATTAAAACAAGGCTTTCTTGACGGTTGTAGGCCCATTATTGGGGTTGATGGATGCCACATAAAGGCTGAATATCGGGGACAGCTGTTGACTGCTATTGGAGTAGATCCCAACAATGGATGGTGGCCCATTGCTTGGGCAGTGGTTGAGAGGGAAGCAACTGAACAGTGGAAATGGTTTTTTGAGCTGCTGAAGAATGACTTGCAGATTGAAAATGGGTACAGCTACACCTTTGTTTCTGACCAGCAGAAGGTATTAACTCCTTCCCTTTGTATATGCACAGTACACAAATCTGTTTCAATTTACTAATGCCTTTTGTTTGTAATAATTTATAGGGTCTTGACCGAGCATTATCTGAGGTACTACCAAACAGTGAGCACAGATACTGTGTGCAGCACCTGTATAACAACTTCAAGAAGAAACATCGTGGACTTGCCCTGAAGACAAAACTGTGGAACATTGCAGCAAGTACTACTGGGACTATTCAAGAAAGCCAGCAGATCTGAAAAATTTTGACAAGGAAGCATATGAATGGGTGAAGAAAGCACCACATCCCAGTCATTGGTGTAAGACTTTTTTTTCAGAACATACTCGATGCGATATGTTGGTTAATAATTTGTGTGAAAGTTTTAATGGTCATATACTTGAAGCTAGGCAGCAGTCAATTATCACAATGTTAGAGTCCATTAGGATATTTCTGATGGAGAGGATACAGAGAAGGACAACTGCAATGGAGAAGTTTGAATTGTCCATTGGCCCACTAATTAAAAAAATAATTGATGATAGGGTGATAGAATCAAGACAATGGAGGACCATTTGGAATGCTGTGGATGGATACCAGGTTAGGGGACCAAGGGGGGCCCAGTTTGCTGTTTATTTAAAGAAAAAATCCTGCACATGCAAACTGTGGGATCTAATTCCTTGCTGTCATGCTATTGCAGCAATTCACAGAAATAATGGCGACCCCTATAAAGAGGTGTATGACTGCTACAACAGAGATCTGTTTCTAAAAATTTACAAAATGTTTTGTATCCTATCAATGGACAAGTAATGTGGCCTGAAGCTGATGGGGTGGATCTTGATCACCAGAAAGGATAGTGCAACCTGGCAGACCTAAGAAGGCCAGGAGAAGAGATCCTACTGAAACTCAAAAGACTGGAAACAGGTTGCGGAGAAGAATAGTCATCCATTGCAGAAAATGTGGTGTTGCCGGCCATAATGCAGCTGGTTGCAAGGTGCAGCAACAAGACAATCAACAACAGCAGAATCAGGATAGCGAGGAGCAGCAGCAGAACCAACAGCAGCACGTGGTTCTAAGAATATGCAGTAGCAACACAGAACCAACACCAGCACCAGAGTCAGCATGAATAGACCCAACACCAGCACCAGTCAGCATGAACAGACCCAACACCAGCACCAGAGGCAACATCAGACCAACACCAGCACCAGAGGCAGCAGCAGACCCAACAGCAGCACCAGCACACAGCAACACCAGCACAGGATCAATATCAGCAGCAGCAAAATCAGCAACACCAGCAACAGAATCAACATCAGCAGCAGCAACAGCAGCAGGATCAGCAACAACAGCAGAATCAACAGCAGCAGCAGGATCAAGAGTATCAGCAGAACCAACAAGAACAGCAATCACAATCTGCTGTTGAGGAAAGTGAACATGCACAGCATCGACAGCAGGAAGAAGTTGTACAAAACCAACAACAGTCTCAGAGCCAAGGGGCTCATCAACAAAGGAAAGCAGGAAAACGAAAGTTAACAGATTCAGAAAAGGGCGGATCAATGCCAATTATGCATATTTAGGTAAAGAACCTCCTTTCACTGTTGGAAATTGGAGAGGAAAATGGAGTAGAGCTGGTACTAGAAGAGGAGGAACTTCAGCAACAACTACCAGAGGACAACCAAGAGTCAAAAGAGGATCAAATTGAAGAGGAAGTAAAGCTATAGCTAGATTGGGACATAATTCAACTACATTTTGTCTTTTTGTATGAAGTTTGTTTTGGATTTGATATGCTGACCTATTACGAACATGGTCCATATGTACAAACAATTTATTTTGTCCAATCTACACAGATTGTTCTATGTTAATGCAGCACTTTTGTTTAGTTCTTATGTCTCTGTCATTTATTGATGAAATTAGTAGAACTGAAATGTGTTGTTTCAAACCTTTTTTGACACCAAATAATAACTATTTATTCATGTGAACAATACAACTTTTATACATCAAAATGTTTATACAGAGGGGTACAAAAGGGGCTTTATAAAGCCATTTGCCCTTTCCCTTTCAATATGCTACCATTACAACAGAGTAGCTATTCTTCAAGGATTTTCAACGATGCCACAAATTTGTAGCATGCCACCAGAATTATCTATTCTCATAACTAACATTGCTAAGACAACTATTAGCCAAGGCAACACTGCGCATCGAATGAGTCGCTTATTGGCTGATTTGTACTTGGCAATTTCAGTTTGAAGTGGCTTCATTTTACCCTCCAATTTCACAGCTTTTGCTTCCCACTTTCTTGCAGCTTTTTCAAATTCAACCATTTTTTCCTCCATTCCATTGATCTTTCTGAGTAGACCCGGTATAATCATTGTAGATCGAGCGCACATTTCATCATCTATCCAACCCCAATAGCCACAGCCATCCTTAAAAAAAAACAAATTCATTATATTTCTTACACAATAATAAATTAAGTATCTAAAAAAATGTTACAAACCTCCCCCAATGCGCATTTGGCAAATCTTCTTCCCGGATTTTGTGCAGTCCATGAAGTTATCATTACTGTCTTCATCCCACAAACACAAGTAGGCAAAATGGGTGTCAACGATGTAGGTGGCATGGATCTTGCTGGCCCGGCTCTTGGTGGCGTTGATCTTGGTCCTGCTTCCTCTAATCCAAGTTGGGCTTCTTCCATTTCCTTCTCTTGTAGTTTCTCTCGGTAAGTAATCTTTATTAGCTTTATACAAGAAGAACAAGAAGATCTATTTTCGACTTCCTAAATTGACCCTACCTTTTGTATTGGAAATCGCGCAAACGGACACCTCTGCGAAGTTAACGACTAAATCTAACAGAATGGGCTGAGTCTACCTTTTATACAGTTTGATGGTCAAAACCAGCCTTTTAATAGTTGAGTGACCAAAACTCGACGATGACAAAAGTTTAGTGGCCACTGGGATAATTTGCCCATTTTAATTGATATAGAGGTATTTTTATAGTTTCACTTCAATTCAAGCTTTTCAAGCGATTCGTTGAGTAATCGAACCTAACAAATGGTTGCTTGAGCTCGATTCGTATATATTAATGCTCGCTCGAACTTAGTGTTGATCGAGCTCAAATCGAGCTACTCGTGAGCCGGTCAATTTCAGCCGTGGTTGTTTGGAAGGGAAACTTCTTTGTCTTGTCCTCCAAAAGCCAGAAGGGAGATAACGTCCGGAAATGGAGCCACAGCAGGGATAAGACTATAGTGCAAGAGTTGAAGCGCGAAAATAAGAGCGGCGTCCTCATGTCATCATCCATATTTGAAATCGTAGCCTTTGCATTTACTCTGGATCTAAATTAATACTTATTAGTCCTATCGAATCCTTCGAGTGGGGCCTTTGCATTTACTCTGGGTCTAAATTAATACTTAGTCCTATTGAATCCTTCGAGTGAATGTCCCCAAAAAAAAAAAACTTTTTGAGTGAATAAAACTCAAAATAAAGGAGCTGCTAAACTAGTATTTTGGGCCACTACGCCGACTTCTATTTGAAGGTTTAACCACAGGAATGTAATGCATAGCGGTCGAACAAAGCCGCATGATTCTAATTGTAAGAATTTTTCAGGCTTTAATATTGTGATACTATCTAACATTCAATTCAACTTGTTGAAAAGAATACTACTGTATATAGAATGCAACATTTCAGATACATGTAAATTAGTACTACACAACCTTTTTTTTTTTTTTTTTTGCAAAAATTAGTACCACACAACTCAATGATCATATTGAAAGAAAATTGCCTTGCAGGAGAGATCCAGAAAAAGCAGAGGTTAGGGAGAGGGGACACGCGAGGACCACGGCTCTATATTTAACATCTTTTGGGGTACAGAATGAAGTAAGCTATCCTGGGAAACTGGACACTCTTTTAAAATTCATTGCTCCATCAAATCCCAAAAATGATACGGTACAGTAATAATGATTCAAAGCGTGTTGTGTTCAATTCATATAGCCTTTGCGGATACTCATGTTGTATGTTACTGTAGTGAAATTCATAACCAGAAGCAGAAGAAGCCAGCAGGCCACAGGCGGGATCCAGAGAGAGCAGGGGGTTAGGCAGCTGGATGATGAACAGGTATGTATATCTCTTGTCAATCAACAAGCAGATAAGACATGTCAAATTGTCCAGTTGCTCCCCTTGTACCAAATCCCTGGATTTCGTTCCCTTTTATTAGTCAAGTGCCCATCTGAACTAATGCACTACTGTCCAGTGGAAGGCCAAATAATTGCAGAAACAAAAAGAGAGAATAAAAAAAATGGGAAGAAGAAGCAAATTTCATACTCTCATTTGTCATTTCCTTCTTGGATTGGGTGATGATTGGATCACATTTTAGACAAGATCAAAACTTTAGAGCTTCTTCTTGCAGAAAATAAGGACAGAAATTAACTATGTACTACTAAAAATGCAATTGAAGATAAAAAGCATCGCATTTGCATTCGTTACGCTGAAACTCTGTGACAAAGTCTAAGAAGCCCTAATACTAAATTACTAATCCTAAAAGCAAAGGTTGTCACAGTGCTCAATTTTTGGTTACTTGGGGTGGGGGTTGGGGGGCGGGGGTTGCTGGGGTGTTGGGGCTGGGAGGTGTGAAATATCGTTCAGTTCAATTGATAACCAGCTGAACTTCAGTCTTGAATAGAAGAAAAGACAGCGAATCCAAAGAGAAATACACAAACCCGCCTGGTGAATGTGTGACAAACGACCCGAAACTCTTCCCCACTACACAGTGCCATGCCGGCCCATACAACCCATCAAACTCCTGTGCGATTTTAATAAATCAAATCAACAACCGACAACTATTCATTAAGGAGTTAGAAAATTCATTTATAATTGATGGGTAGTTGTTAGTAATATTCAGTACCTTTTTGAGAGAACGAGCGAGGAGGGCGGGGCTAAGTCGATGAGTTTGAGGAGGAGTGGCACCGGAGGTACCGGCAGTGACGAGTGATCGGGTGTAGCGGAGTGCATGCTCTTGCATGGACACGGGCATGTCTGAGGTTCTTAATCGCACGTTTAGGCTATGGCTGCTACTGCTAGCTTCAGTTCTTGTTCTGATAGAGAGTTGTTCTTCTTCTCCTTGCTGTTGTTGTTGCTTTGATCAGAAAAACAGGAAGCTGCTGCTGCTGCAATATTTGTAATGGTTTCTGAGGTCTTGACTTAGAGGAAGCTGCTGCTGCTGATGATAATTGCATGACTTTGGGTTGGGACTGCTGATGGGATTGAGGGGCTTATTTTTGGACTTGCTTTGAGTTGTTTCTTTCATGATTGTTAGAGGCGTATGAAAAGAATTGTTAGAGGTGGATAAAGACACGAGAACTAGAGAAGAAGAGTTGAACTTTTTGACCGGGAAATATGTGGAGTCGTTGGGGTTGGAGGATTGGAAATTGGAATATAAAGAAAGATTTGAACTTTGACTGACAATACATGGTGATAGAGACAGCAGCAGGCCAAAGAAAAAAAAACAGATGATAATCCAAATAGAGAAAAATGCAAGACATGCAAGAATTAATAATTAGACTTGGTTTGTGTTTATTGCAAGTTTCATTTTTTTTTTTTTCAATTTCCTACGAGGCTTTCGGTGTCTATTTGGATTTTGAGGATTAGAGTGAAGAGAAGGAAAAATACGAGTACACTGGACACTGCTTGGGGGATGGTACACAAGAAAAGTGTGGGATCATCAAACCACATAAATGGTGTGGGCGCAGGAGTTGCTGCAGCTGCTGACCAGTCTAATTTTGTAGTACCAGCCAGTTAGGTTGGTGCTTTCCCTTTCCCATTACTGAGGATTTCTCATGACTTACCAGCAAGAGTGACAGTTAAATCAATCAAGCCCTCTTATGGTTGTTTTCAAATTTCCACTGAGTTAGAGTAGATGATGAGTTTAACTTCCCCCTCAGAGTTCTCAATAATGCACTCCAATTAAGTAAGCTTATGCATATGATTTTGTGTACTAGCTTCCTCTTTTCTTTTTCAAAGGACTGCGGTGAAAACCGTTTGAATTAGCTATTTTTTTGGATATTTTTAAAAAATTTTACTGTAATTAAAATATTTGATATATTGTATGAGTGAAATATTTTTTGAATTATTATGTATCACTGTAACATTTTATTTAAAAAACTTAATTAGGAAAAAATATCCAATCCAAACGGAGGGAGTTTTGGTCTGTTGGCATCGTCCATTTTTAGTGACAAGATATTAGTCCAACGTCAAAGGAATCAGAGCACAGTGATGTGTTCTGCTTCTTCATGCTAAGGTCCTTGTTTCAATGATTGCTTTTTCATTAAATTTTTTTTTGAAATGCTCTTTGGACACATTTTTAATTTTTTTTTCCTCACGTGCATCATCACATAGTTACAATAAATTTATCTATAAAAATTCCACCAAACTATTGCCTTGACATATTTTGAGATGTTATATATGTAAAATGCCCCCACGTGAATGGCTGGTGGTTGGCGCCTCTTCCTCGGGACCGTCAGGTCCTGGGATCGAACCTCCGCAGCAACATTGGCTTCTCCGTGCAATTAACGTGCTAGGTCTGATTGGACGCTGGGCCGGGCGGAGTGGGATTAGTCGGGCCGCCTTTACGGACTTGACCCGGACACCCACTCCGTCGACAAAAAAAAAAATATATATATATATATATATATGTAAAATAATTTTTTTAAAAAAAATTGTAACCATCTAAAAAAATGTTCAATGGATTTTTCAAGAATGTAAAAACAAAACCAGGAGAAAAAACAAAATAAGTCCAAACAACGAACGAGTGACACGTGGCCCAATATTCCCACACACTCCTCATCCATCTAATCTCATATCCCCAACACTCCAACAGACTCAACTCCGCCACACACATTCACACACACACCACTCTTTCCTCCTCCACTCCATTTTTCCTTTGTAAATATCCGAATCAAAAATAAAACCAAAAAGAATCGAAAAATCAAAGAATCGGAACCAGAAACTTATCAACAAAACCTCTGTTCTCCCGGGATGGCTGGCGTTCTCGAAACCCTAACCGTACCACGCTCCGCGTCTCTGCCCTCAGCTTCCTTGGCTCCCATCGCCGGCTCTCCATTCTCTACCATCCGCGTCAGATTTTCCGAGTTTAGAGGACTTAAGATCCAGTCGACTAGGCCGTCGTCCTCCGCCTCGCTCAGTTCAAATGCCAGACTCGCCCGCCGTGGAAGTCGAATTGTTTGCGAGGCTCAGGATACCGCTCTAGTAGGTTAGATTATTTCGAACTCTTTGCTTTTGCTTTTTAGAAACGGTTCTTTGTTTTTAGCTTCTGTGTATACTCGTGATATCTGAAATCGAAGTTTATATTGAATTCGATTGTTTGTAGCTTCTTTGTTTAGGTTGATTTTAAAATATGTGCTGGAATTTGCGTGAATCTGCTTGGCGAATTTTATGCAAGAGTTGAGGTGGAAATTTCTGTTCGACTGTCGAACTTAAATTTGATTGAAGTGCGAAATTCGCTTGTAGCTTAATCCAAAGTCACTGGTAATATTCGCTTTTGAAAATGTGACTGGAGAATTGTGTATCTACTGTCGTGCAACTCAAAAGTTAATCATAGCGAGAATCTTTTCCCTCAGCATCATTCAGAGCAAGCTAGAATTCTAGTCAGGAAAAGCAACTTGCAATTGAGAATTATAGTAGCAGATAATTTGACTCGTTACACGCATATGGTCCGAGTCTTTCTCTAATCTTAGTTAGGACGGTTACTAATAAATTGTATTTGTATTCAGTCTATCTGGTTCCTGTCGTGAGGAGTTATTCCTCCTTTTGAGAACTAATTTTATGGAATTATTAGTTTTAAGGGACTGTGTACATTTCTGACCGTCTTATATAAGATCTCTAGGACGTTATTGGTTAAGTTAGGGCTTATACAACTATAAGCTAACTTCAATTTGATGTTTTCTTTTCCTGTTCTTTTGTTTGCTTTACGTTTTCATTTGTATGTTGTTTCCACAAACTTAGCTTACATAGTATAGTCCTTTCCCTGAATAGTTGGATTTTAAGGAGTTATTGTGCTCAAAGTGCAAACTTCATCTTAGAACTTTGCTGGAAACATGTTATATAGAAATGCATTCTTATGGTGGAAGAATAGTTTCTTTAAGAATATCAGGCTCTGAAATCATTATTGAATTTGCAGACCCTGGGCGACAATCTTTGTGAATGACATAAACAGCCAATTTTGTTTTTCTTGTGAGCTTCTTGTTTTGTATGTCTATTTATGCTGTCTGAGAATGCGTAAATACTGAAGAGTAGTGCAGGAACCAAATATGCTCTCATTAGACATGTAGAAAAGATTTATCTGACAATGGTAGGGCTTCCTATTCTAGAGAAGAACTTTTGGTAGTTTTTCTTACCGGTCTTTGTAAGCATATCCCTTATGTGCATGTGTTGTCTTCTTCTGTATCCACACTTATGGTGTATGTTGAATCTGTATTCTTCTTCATAATTGATGAATCAAAATGGCAAACTAGTATAGCTTAGAGCGCTGATAAAAGTAAGATTCTCGTCTTTTGAATAGTGATTCTTGCAATTCCAATTGTGGCTACAGAGAGAAGTATATGGAAACAAAAATGATGGCTGGTGATCTGCTCGTATTCTCTATGTTGGCTTTTGAAAATGGATCTGTTGTTGGTTATTATCTTATCCTGTTTTGCAATATATTTTTCCAAAGTCCAAGAGTTTATGTGATATTGGCTTAATGCTCATATAAGTTTTAAAACAGATACATTATAATTTGATCTTTCTCCTTCTTTATCCAACCACCAAATGAGATGTTACTTGAGAGGCAGGCGCTGGTGCTCTTTTAAGTTTCCGTTTGCACGACCATGGATTTAGAATCTGGTTGCAGAATTTCCGATACAGATAACCCTGTTCCAAATTCATGATCTGCTACTCAATTTCTAGGATTTTGTGGGAAACTGGTAAATAGAAATTTAAAATTGTTCTTTGGTTCTTGAATAAATTGCAGTCCCACCTGTCAAGGATGATACGTGGCAGTCGCTGGTACTAGATTGTGATTCACCTGTTCTGGTTGAGTTTTGGGCTCCATGGTGTGGGCCATGCCGCATTATTCACCCCGTAATTGACGAGCTGGCTAAGGAGTATGCTGGTAAACTTAAATGCTACAAGGTTAATACAGATGATTCCCCTGGAATTGCAACTAAATATGGGATCCGAAGCATCCCAACTGTAATGATTTTCAAGAATGGAGAAAAGAAAGACACTGTCATTGGTGCAGTTCCAAAACAAGTATTGACTACTAGCATAGAAAAATTCTTGTAAAGTGGCGGGTATCCAGTCCATGATGTTTCACGAACAGATTCAATAATCCTAAGATGGTTCTGTATAGATGGATGCTACTGCATTCCCTATTTGTATTGAGATAATCTTGGTTACTAAAGTTTTTACAGTTTGACGTTGTCTTTTAGAATTAATTCTGTATGCCTTTTTTTTTTTTTGAAGAGGACATCTCTCTCTGTGAAATTGGTTTTCCTCACTTTAAAGCTGCTTCTGCTATTATCTCCAAAATACCTGCTGCATATGGACAAATGCAGGGATATGGGACTGTTGTGGGTAGCATTATAGAGGCATGCTTGCTAAACTACAGAAATCTTTGAAGACTGGAGCAAGCCTTGCTACTCATGTTCAGTGAAATCCTGGTCCCTGTTTCCTTTTCACTTTTTTGTTGTCGAATCTTACATTTACAAATTGGAGCAAACTTGACGATACTTCGAAGTTCGAATGAATTTAGTACTTCAAAGTGAGGTGACCTTTTAGTAAAGTTTTAGGCTGGCCTCTCCCTCTGGGCTTTGTGACCATGGATGTGGGCTGGGTCTAGCTTTGTCATATGTAAAGGAAAAACTACAGGAGCAGTTTTCGCCGCTACATTTGTTTATTTCACTAACGTGACACTGAGGCCCGAGAGAGTCCAGTAACTATTTCGGAACAACTTTTCAGTTTTCATCCCTTTGAAAAATTATGATCAATAGTTCAATTAT